TTGATGCTGAGCAGTAGGATCTCCTCCTCCCACGTAGATCCAGTCCGACGATTGAGTACCAACGCCGGTCCCTCCACCACCGCAGACTCCTCCGCCGCATCCTCCTATGCAACCGCCGTTGTAATGGAAACAAGGATAAAAGTAACCGGATACCGGAGAAACCTGCGTTGCTGGTGCGGTGGTATGTGATCGTGGTACAAATTCCGGCGCCTGAGCGTTGAATTTGAACGCCGTCGCCTGAGCGCCTGAAGATCCGCCACCTCCGTCTAATCCTTTCTTCTCCGTCGTGACGGACTCTACTTCTTCTCGCTGCATCTGTGCCATTTTCCTCTCACTACTCTAAAAAAATCTCTAACAATTTTTTTTTGGTTTTTTTTTTTGTGTATTTATATTTTAAGTTTTTTTTCAATCTAAACAAATATCAATACTGAATAGTTTTGATGTTGTTTATACTTTTTTCTATTGATTTGATTTGTTCTTCTCGGTTATTTCTCACTCTCCCAATAATTTTAAAACATGGAAAAACTTTTGAAGCCTTGTTTTTTCGCGCAAATTATGGATTTTTAACGAGAAAAATAAGCTTCCAGGTTTGACTGTGTATTTTAACTTTTTTTTTCCTCTCAAATTATTAGCTATCTCTTTCTAATAACACATTTCTTACATAAATTAAAATGAAATTACATATATACATTAATTGGCATTTTTCAAATAAATAATGAAAGAGAAACTTTTCAATTACTACTGCTTAATCAAAATTTGATAAATCATATATCTATGACTACATTTTATTTATTTGAAAATCATAAAACTACTAAACTATTAATACAGACCATCCAATTAATTATTATTATTTTTAGTTAAAGGTGATGTAATCTCAAATAGATTGATATAGCGTAAAAAATAAAGTTACACACAAAATATTTGTCTTCGGAAAATCTTATTTACCAATGAATACTTCTAACTTCAAATTATTGCAATTTTTACCACAGGCTACATCAATCCGTTCGATAAAAGTCTAAAATTCTCGTCGCATAACAAACTGTATTGCTTTTTCGATGGTACACTATAAAGTTTTGTAAATACTAATAACCTTAATAGAGAACTTAAACTATATGAGCCGTAACAAAACACTATGACCAACCGCTGAGCATTTTCTATCAGCGACAAAACCTTGTAACAAAGTTTTTCTCATTTCGGATTCTGATGCATAATAACAAAATTCACTATACTACTAAGATATGCAAAAAAAAAAAAAAAAAAAAAAAAGGAAATGATTTAAACAATTGGTTTGGTCATAAAACATATATTATCCTTGAATTTGGTTTTTGTCACTATATACCAAAAGGGCAAACATTTGAAAGAACTCAAAAAGGCTGCACTTGCAAGCAAATTCAGAAAACGCAATGCTTACAAGTCTCACAATCGAGATACCTTTTAGTCTTTAACTTACAGTGAAGGAGGAGACCAAATCAAATCCAAAATGACTTTGTCGCGTTATAAGTCCTGAACCGACCTCTACTGATCCAAAAAAAATTTGTTCAGGAAATCAAACCGACCATTTGGAGACCTGGGTTTGCCTACGTGGAAAACATTATCAAAACTGGCCACTTCCTAAAGAGTCATTGTTCGGCCTTGATGAAGTGGTTGGTCAGAAGTGTTGAGAACGACGTGTCTTCGAATGAATCAACTTCGAAGAGTTCTTTCAGCTTCTCATCACATATGATTCTCCTCTTGTCAGAAGGATCCTAAGTTATGAAAATGGTGTAAAGAAGCAAATAGTTAAGAAAAACCAGAGTGTAGAGAGCAAGTGGTATACCTGAAGATCATTCTGTTTTATGTACTCCCACAATCTCTTTCCCACATCCGCCCTTGACAGCGAGCTTTCTCCATTATTACCCAAGAACTTGACAAGAGCAACTGAAAGTGGAAGGGGAGCAAGAACTTCTTTCTTCTGCTTTTTATCTTTCTCATTTGGTTCCTCACTATCTGTGTCTGAGCGAATGCATATGCTTTGTTTATACCGTGATGAGAAAAGGGAGAAGTTTAAATTCATCTAGCTTTCTTACCTCCATCTGATTCCATTTTTTGCTTTCCATTCTTTGGAGAGTTAGAGCTAACAGATTCTCCTAGACCAGAGACAAACAACAATTAGTATACCGTTAAAAAGCCTAAACCGGAAAAAGATGGCTCCCAGTATATGTAAGAACTTTCAGTCATCAAATACCTGCATTATCCTCTAAAGGCCATATGTGCTTTGTTAGCAGTTTACTCATTTGAAACATATTGATGGACTCGAAAGGGAATAAAGATCGCAATGATTCGTCGCATATTATTATGCGTTTATCATTCGGATCTTGCAAATTGTTCTCCTTTATGTACTTCCAAAGCATTTTCACAACCTGAAACCATTCACCAGACAAAATGTCAAAACAAGGGAATTGGTTAAGAAAATTAGACAAGTAGCTTTGAAATTTAGGCTCAGAGCTTGAGTTATATAACGAAGAGAAACTAATTATCTCGAGTCAGACATGTACCTCGGTCCTGGCTAATTCTGTCACCCCAGTAAATGCCTGAAGCTCCGGCGAGAGGCTGCAAACTTTAGCAAAGCCACCTCCTCCTTTTCTTTTGGGCTTCTCTACCGACTTGGCAGGCCTATTTAATAGAGAAAACTTAGTTTATGGGCACAGGCTGGCGATAACTAGCTGTACAATACAACTGCGGGAGAAAGAGAAAACTAACTTTTTTCTCTTGCGTTTCCGCAAACTCCTAACTTCCTCCTCTTCACTTTCTTCTTCTTTATTCTCTTCCACTTCTTCGCTTTGATCCCCTTTCTTATCTGTTCCCTCTGATGCCTCCTCTTCATCTTCTTCTTTCACATTGTTCGCACACCCTGGAAAAAATAAATCATTTCATTGTACTTAGGTAACACAAACTCAGGAACTGCTGTCTCCGGAAATATATAATACTGTTTTATTAAACAAAATTGATGTTCATTAGAGAGGTCTCTTGCACAAATATATATAAGTATCCTAACAACACAACGCTGAGGGAAAATCTTAATATTCAACACTATTAACAGTTCATCAACATTATTTCCACACAATTACACATGATCACTCTCTACAGTGGGCTACTTGATTTCAGACACATGATACAAATGAACCGATCGAGCTATTTAGGATCAATGGCTGACTGAACAGGAAGACTAGGGATATATATATCAAGCAGTCCAATGTAATTGTACCAGAAGCATTAAGTCCATGAAGAATTCAAGAAGACATTCTAAACAGAGCGCTATAAATGATCATAGACACCACACTATCAAATATAGTGAGGTTTTCTGAGTTGTAAATGCAGTATTATGACAAGGAAATTACCATCTCCATCACCTAAGGGCCAAATATGCTTGGTTAATGCCTTGCTCATTTGAAACATATTAATGGTCTTTACACGGAACAAGGAATGCAGCAACTCGTCACACACTATCTTCCTCCTATCCTTTGGGTCTTGCAAATCGTTCTCTCGGATATAGGCCCACATTTTCTTCACAACCTGATAATATACACAAGACAAAAGAATGAAGTCAATTCCGCTTCAAAACATCGCAGAACACTAACTCGAAGAAGATGACAATTACCTCGGTTCGACCTAACTGAGATGCTCCAACAACTTTCTCAAGTTGTGGAGATAACTGAGATACTTTGGTAAAGCCACCACCTCGTTTCTTGGCCTTTACTGGCCTAACACATAAACACACAACAATGAACAATAATCCCTTAAACTCAATCACTAAACAAGTGGTCTTTGATTAGAAATGCATCCGGAAACATTTTGATTGGTTCGATTGAAAAATGCTAAAGATTCCTATAAATACTCAATTTTTGTGTGTGTATGATCATTGATATTCGAATTTCAAAAATCCAATTTCACAAAAACCACAATCAGTACTAGAGTAATTACCGTTCTTCCTTCTCTTCCTCACTTTCACTTCCATCTCCGTCTAGGTCTTCTCCATCGCCTCCTTCAATTTCCGCCTTGATTTCTTCGGCATTAATGTCTTCTTCTGGCTTAGAGCTCTCAGGTTTGTCTTCTACAGCGCCATTGCTCTCGAGAAAAGTATCGATTTGATCCCTAATATAGGCTTTTTTATCTGTCAAGTCGATACCAAAATCCGCCTCCAGCTGACGACGGACGCTAGCCGGAGTCGCCGTGTTTAGGTCGGAGCTACCGAGAATCTCACGGAGTCGGGTCACGAGGTCCAAGTCGGAAACCATTTTTTCCGTTACTGAAGAAAGAAAAAAGACGAAGCGGCTATGAAAGCCAAAACGATTCTTTGAGGTAGAAAATTAGAGAGAGGGCATTTATGGAATTTACAAAATTGTAAACGTCGTCGTTTGGTACTTGAACTTTCTTCCTCGGGTTTTGGTACTCATAGGTGTTCGATTACGACCATAGTTAGAATTAACACGTTTTATTGTATTTTAGTTACTCACTCCGTTCGTTTTGGTTCTCGTTTAAGGTTTTTTCACATAAATTAAGAAAAATATTAAATTTTCTGTTTTATCCTTTATTAATATATTTTATAAAAAATTTCATTGGCCACAATATCAAAACAGTAGGGATAATACTGCAATTTTTATCAAACTTTTGCATTGAAAACCTAAAACGACAACTATTATGAAACAAAATTTAAATCCTAAAACGACAACTAAAACGAAACGGAGGGAGTATATGATTTGCTTGGAAACAAAAAAGAGTTGGATATTTTCTCTTTTGGGTATCTAACTATTTTTTAAACAACTCTTTTTGTTAAGAAGAGAAAGAGACTAGAAAACACTAAACAATTCTTTTTCAACGGCCTAATAGATTGATGTAAATGATCATTCATGCGTAGTAAGAATATTATTATGGCTAACATTAACATGTTTATGTATTCTAGTTATGATATCACTCTTTTTATTTAAAGTCTGTAGTATCCTATTCTCGTCTTCATATTTTTTTCAGCCCAAGTCTAAGTTCTCTGTTATATATCTCTGGCGCTCTCTCAAAGGTTGTAAACGACCACGAATCGATCACCGTCGAGCTCTTCTTCACCAATTAGCTCGTTGATCGCTTTCGGTTTAGTTTCTGAAATAATTTTTCTTTCTTCTTAAAAAACATTTAGAAAAATAAGAGTTAATAGAATGGGTGAATTAAATATTTATACACGGTTGTCCAAAAAATTAGATTTCAGAACATGATAATTTCAAAATTAAGTAATTATGAAAGATAAAGAAACTACAAACCAAAAATATCCTTCTTCTGTTGATTTATTACAAAAGTGCCATTGAATTAAAAATTGTTTTATTATTTCAGTTTCTCATCGATATTGTTCACTTAGACGTCGATGACACTGTTCATTTCGAAGTTGATGATACTGTTCATTGTAGGATAGTCTAAAACATTTGTGATTTGTGTAGATAACTATTTTATTACCTGATAAATAATATAGTATCGTGATAAGTTAAATGATTATCTATTGGTTTAACACGATAACAAAATATATATCAATAAGTTTATAAATATATCGTGTTAAAACATATTGTATCTCGATAAGTTTATAATTGATATGATAAAGTTTATATTATCATAGAAAATATTTATGGTAAGATAGTAGATATATATATAATATTTATATTACCGTGTATAACGATGTTAACATGATAACAATAAAAGTAACAAGTGTTACTCTAGTTCTGGTCACCGACGAAGCAAACCCAGAAAACAACATAATTAAGTTTTTTGGCCGCCACTGTCAAATCTTCAATCATCACAGCTCCTCCGTCCCTATCTTCGTCTCAACTCACCACTCCATTTGATCCAACAATAATTGATAACGAGGTTAACGTAATAACGATGAAAATAACTAGCAATAAAAAATAACAAGTTTTGTTGTAGATCTGCTCACCGATAAGATAGACGGAAAAGACGGCGACAATTATAAAACTCTTAAGCCATCTCACCTTCACCGACGCCATCACCATAAAATCCCTTTAGCTTTTTGCACCTCTCCGACGTTATCTCAATCCACGATTTTATTCACATCACCTTCTTTTTTCCCAAATTCACCACCACCGATAATATAATCATCATCACTATCGTCGTAAATACCATCTCCACCATCGTTAAGAACCCAATAGTTTAAATAGGAATAAACACCACTTACAATCACCACCGCAGCGGCCGTCACTGAATCGGACTAGAAACCACCACAAAATCAAATCGACTATGCATCTTTTAAACACACAAGTTTGTCTCCTCTCTTCCTCCTACATCATCACCACCGTCTTCTACTCTTTTGTTGTCATCACCATCAAGTTCTACAATTTTATTTTAGAACGATTTATTGAAAATTGTTTGTATTTGGCTGTTAGAATTTTTGTTCATGTCAATTTTGATGAACACTTCGACAGAGAATGGGGAAAGGAGAGAGAAAAACTGAAAAATTAAATATATTTTTTTTTTTAAATGAGGACAACAATGTAAAATCCTTTACACGACATCTGACAAAACAGTGTTCATTTGTGTCAGTTAATTTTTGAGTCTTCCATGGGTACAGATTGATAATACCCTAATAGAATGAACAACAAAAAATAATAAATCAATTTGCATACTGAAACATCTCCCAACTCTGGTAACTACGTCTGTGAACATAAAAAAAAAAAATTGCACATATGGATCATGGTATGATCAGAGTTGCTTATATGTGCTAACTCAGTCAAATAGTCACTAAAAAAAACTATCATCTAATCAAAGTATCATCGTAACTATTATTGTACTTTTAAACCAAAAAACAAACAAACTATTATTGTACTTAAAAGGTACATGCATCCAGATGATAAGATGTAAATCACTAATTAAAAAAAAATGTGAATGGGCAATAATGGTTTGTAATATAAATGTACCATAAGAATATTATTGTGGCAAAACCTTAACACGTTTATGGTATTCTAGTTATGATATAAAGGTTTGTAATATACAGTATCAGGTTAACAACAAAATGAAAAGAAAAAATGTTCTATACTATCACTCTTTTTATTTAAGTATTCAAAATCCTATTTTCCGTCTTCAATATTTGGCCTTTGAAAATAACATTTCAAAAACAAAAAAAAGTTAGAAAAATAAGAGTTAAAAGAATGAACAAAACAAAAGAATAATAAATCAATTTGCATACTGAAACATCGCTCAAGTCTGGCAACTGCGTCATCAAACACTCCTCGAAGCCTATCTGTCCACGCCACTAAATCTGGGTTTGGGTTTGGGATAGGGTAAGGGTTTGGGATTGGGATTGGCAATAGAGCATGTAGGCCTGGAAAGATCCGCAGTCTACTGCCGATATGTTGTACAATAATATCTTCCCTGCCCATCGCATGTTTTACTCTCTTAAGAGTAACGTCTGCCAAAGAGGGAAAAAAAAAGAAAACTAATTAAGCAGAATGTCTTAACTAATATAATCATAGCAAACAAATCAAAGTTGGTCAACTCTCTTCATATGAGTGCCACATCATCACATAAGAAAATGACATATGTCATTCGATATTATTTAAATTAAAAATCAGCAAAATTAATTGAGGGAGAATCAAAAGTCTCATATTGTGTTAAATCCTCCATTAATCCCTTTCTTAAATGATTTTTTCAAAATAAAAATAAAATTATAAAATAATTTAATCAGTCAATTACTACTTTCATTTTACTTTTATTATTTTTCTAATTTTTTTAATTTAATGGTCAATGGTCATCACTCGATAATGACTAAATAATTATTTGTGTTGTAGTTTAGTTGTTTAATATCTTATTAGTTTAGTAATTTTACCTTGAATATTTTCTTATTAATACGTTATGGTTCATATCTTATCATATGACATTCTCTCTTTTCATTTTTGTATCTTATGGTAAGTTCGTAACATTGACATGTAAAATTTTTTCAAGTAATGAGCTTTAGAGACGTTAGACATACCACGAAATTCAAGATAAATTCATTTCTCTTATATGGCTATATGCAATAGCATAAAATCTAAAAGTGTTACTGAAATAACTCTTTAATTTTTGCTTTCTTTTTGTTTTTTTCATCGAAAACTCTTGAGATAAAACTATCTTCAGCTTAATTCTTGTTCTGTGTATTTATGATAGTGAACAAATATTAAAATCTTAGATATAAAAATAATCAGATTATACATAAAAATGTATAAATTGGTATTTAGAGTCAAAAACAAATCTAACAATAAAAATTGTAAATACATAATATGAGTCTAATTTTATTAACTATACAATAACAAAAAAAAAACATAAATTAATGACAAACAAAATTAACCTATTTTATCTTAACAATTTACAAAAAAATTCACGCGTAGCATAGAAATTCATCAAGTTATTTAGAAAAGGAATAAGACTAATTACTAAATAATCCTCCGAGTGATTGCACTGCGTCATCGAACGACCTTATGCGCTCCTCTGTCCATACGATTCTGGGTCTTGGGCCTGCACCTTGTAGTCTTCCTTGAATCGGTGGTATTGGGCCACGTAATGGGCCCCGAGTAGGTTGTGGCCCAGAGATAGGTGGGCCCGAGGAGACCCGCGGAAAGTTTGACCTCCACGAGGCCGTTGGTGGTGGAACAGATAATTCCGGCGGCGGGATTGAGGCGGCGGTGGCTGATAGAAGAAACTGGACGGGGCCGTCGGTGGTGGAACAGGGAATGCCTGCGGCGTGAAAGAGTATGTTGGTGGCGGCACGAAAGATTCTGGCGGTGGCGGATAGAAGAACCTCGACGAAGATTCCGTCGGTGGTGGAAGAGCCAGAAACGGTGACGGAGAGGAGGATAAAGGCGACGAAAAGATGTTACTAAGCCGTGGTCGCTTAGATGATGATGATTCGGGTGGCTGAAAAGAGGATGATGGTGACGACGGAAAGAAGGATGACGACGATGGTGGTTGAAGAGAGTATGACACTGACGACGGAAAGAAGTCTATCAAAGATCCGGGTGGTTGAAGAGAGGAGGATGATGACGATGGTGCGAGAGTTGAAGATGACGTCGGTGGTTGAAGAGAGGAGGATGATATCGCCGGTGGTGACGGAGATCCTTAAGTAGTGCAACTTCTGCGTTTTTTTTTTTTTTTTTTTTTGATAACCAGGAGGTTCGGGACCGAAGCCCTTAATCCCCCCAGGGTCCGGGGAAAACCAGGTGAAAGCCCTTGGCCAAATGGAAATAACTAGCACTTTCGCGCTTGAGGGGAATCGATCCCTGGCCTAGACCAACAGAGCGACTCCTCTTCAAGTGAAAGCCACTAGACCACGACCACTTGGTTAACTTCTGCGTTTCCAAGACCAAGAACAAAATTTGAGAATGAGAGAGGGACAACGTCAAATTAGAAGGTGAAGGAGAAGAAATTAACCTGGTTGTCTCGCGGAACTCCGATCTTCTGCGCATCTTCATCTTCTTTTTTCTCTTCATCCAACTTCTTCAAACGCTCAACAATCTTGGCGAGTTTCTGAGAGCGTGACTCAATAGTATTGAGTTCATCAAGAAAGTCATGGAATCTCTTCTTGTGATTAGTCATGGCTTGCAACGGAAGAAATATGATCAATGGCTTTGCGTTCTATATATATAGGAGAATAATATATGTTTATTTGGATCTCTCTAATTAGGGATCTTTTAGTCCTTTTGTTTATTTTGTACTCTTGTTAGTTATTGAAGCTGAAGAAGAAGAGTTCGTAATATATGTTTCGTTGAATGTTTATAAAATATTATTTACTAATCAATCAAGTATGACAATTACATGAAAACATTCATAAATATACACTGACTGATTTTTCTCATACAAGCATATCGTTCTTTCACCTATCTAAAGAAGAGAAAAAAGGAACCTGAGACATCCTTCTTGGACTCTGGCTCCATGATCTTCGAGGCGAAGGCACTGACGGCATCTTTCTCTCAGGATTCCTACTTCTTCTGCTCTTAATTTTTCCCTGCATCAAGATCCTCTCTCAATACTTATTATTTTGGAAATGCTAGAGGGATTGAAGCTTCAAATGGAACTATATCTTCTTACCTTTAATCTAAAGTGGTGTAGTTCACTTTCAAGTAAACCAAGTTTTGTCTTGAGCTGTTCAAGTGCCTCTTCAGCAACTTCAGGGTTTATGTCTGTAATGTCTTCTCCTGTTACACCTGCTGCCTGAGGGAAATTTGAATCCACACAAAGATGTTTAGAATTCTATTATGTTAGCATACTGTTTTGGGGTTTAAGATCATCAGAATTGCTGAGCTTATTACAGGGGAAAACTATGACCGTTCCTCTTACCTTTAGGATACTGGTGCAGAGACCTAATAGCTTCTGAGCAAGCTGCATTCTATCCTCTTTGGTTTCCTTCAGTTTGGTACTTAACTGATGCGTTTTGTCAAAGTTTGAATGTGGGTTCTTTCCAGAAGATGCTCGGTAAAAGGCAAGCTCTTCTTTGGCACGAGAAACACTCACATCTGCTCGCCGTAACTTCAGATTGAGCTCATCAAGCTGAAGTTTCAACACATTGTTTTCTTCCTGTTGCATATGACACCAAAGAAAGGGTAATAAGTACCAGAATAAAGAAGAGTAATTAAATAATTACACAGAGAAGTTAGAGATTTCTTGCCTTGATTCGAGCTTGATCACGAGTTCTCCATTCAGGGTTTTGATGAGACGATAGCTTATTCACTTCTCCTTCAAGCTCCATCACTTTTCTTTTATGACTAACATTCTCCTTCTGTTGAAAGTAAGAAGATTAAGATAGTTCTGTGACGACTTATTTGTTTTGTATAATGCGTAACACTAATTTTCTAACCTTAAGTAATTCATTCTCTTTCTTAAGCAGCTGCTCATACTGCCGATGTTCCTCGAGTTTTATCTGCGTGGTAACTAAATCTGTCTGCTTTCCTTCGATTTCCTGTATCCATCTACATCGAGATATTGTAAGAGAAACTATGATCAAACATCTGAAATCCATATTTCTGCTACTGGATTTGACAGAGTGCAACACTTGCTTACCCTTGCCTTTCCTCATTGTATTCATTGAGTTGCTGCTTGAGATGAGAGACTTCAAGATCCTATATACATAAAATTTCAGACAAGATATGTTTGATTATTATCACAAACTTATTAATATTTCTTCCTGGAGAAAAATTTACCGTTTCTCGTGAATCTGAACTATTATGTTGAAGCATCTCTGCTATCTTCAAGACTTGTTGACTATCCAAAAATGACTGAAAAAAAAGGAAAGCGGAAGAAGGAAAAAGGTCATTGACTTTCAGTTACCGGTTTCTACAGTAGATTAACAACAAGACAATGACTAATGTAACCAGGTTCCACAGAGATTAAAGATAAATTTTTATTTTTCATTACAGAAGCAGAAAACATGTAAAGACTACACAATATGGCAAGAAAAAAAAAGTTATATAACTACTTACCGCACAATTTGTCACATTCTGTTTGACTCCCAGCAAAACTCGATTAATATCATGTGTCATGCTATCCACCTTGGCGAGTTTTGAATTCAATAAAAATATCTGGGGAGCAGAAATACGAGATTAGAAAATAAAACTCCAAATGGATGCCAAACGTTTCAATATAACATATAGATAACATTTTCGACTAGTTACCTCTTTCTGCCGGGTTGCAACTACAGTTTCAAGCTCCTCAATTCGTAGCCTTGCAGCAGCAAGCTCCTCATCCTGCTCAGACCTCATTTGTTGTGCAATTCCCAACCCTATGCATCGGAAAGGAGAGCCAGAACCCCGAGGTTTCCCTGAACCTTTACTCAACGAAGAATCTATAGCTTGAGAAACATGGATTTCTGGCTTTACTTGCTCAGCCATTGCTTCCAACTCCTTGAACTGTTTGCAAAGGATCAGTCTTAGTAATGCCAGTCTTTTGGTAAACTTTTAAGGGTAGTCAATCATATCTCGGAACCATCTTTACCTTATGCATGTATTCTCTAGCCTGAGCCTCTGCATGCAGATTTAATTCCGAGATATGTGCACTGAGTTGATTTATCTGTTTTAGAGTAAACATACATATACCATCAAAATTTATTTAGACTGTCTTTAAGGATCTAGCTCTGTTCAAAATAACAAATTTTGTTACCTCGGTCTTTTGATCAGCCTTATTTCTCTCAAGTGCTTCTATATGCGTCTTAGCTTGCGCAAGATCCATATGCTTTTCATCTAAAATTCTTTGACCACACAAAAAAAGAAATGAGTTGCTTTAAACATATACCTATTTAGGTTGCTTAGTTTTTTCTAACCTTCTCATTTCCCCATCAGCATTTCTAGCACTTTCCATCTGCTGGCGTATGGTATGAAGCTCCATTTCCAGCTCCTCCCTTTGCAGACGCTGTCTTTCAGCTTCACCTTTGACAACATTAACCTATTGAAATACGCATCCGTCAGAAAATTAAACACATCGATTAAAATAAGCTGTTACATAGTAAAGAATTATTAGTTCTAACCTTGTTTTCAAGTACATTGATAGTATACTCAAGTTTCTCAACTGATCCTTCTAATAGCTTCACTTCTTCTTCTCTCTCATCGGCATATGTCTTTCTTGATTCAGCAATCTGTGAGAAGAGGATAAACGAATTTAAGGAAGTATTGCAAAAAGGACTGAGAAAATGGACGTATCTTGTCAAGTCTAATTGTGTTGTTGTCTACCTGTTGAGCTTCTATGTACCTAGCTTCCATTTCTTTAGCCTCAGATTTCATCTTCCCGAATTCTTCTTTCAGATTCACAATCTCATCTTGGAGATTATCCCTGTCATCGATGGCCTCATTCAGTGTTCTCTGGGTAAACGCAACTGTATCATTCAATTGTCCGAGAGCATTTCTTAGATTAAAGAGCTCCATCTCCATGCTCTCTGATACCTTCTTTGTCTGGATCAGTTCCTCCTCTAGAGAGCTTTTTTCTGCCAAGAGATCTTCAGCTTCCGCTCTAATGTCTTTATTTTCCGCTGACAGCTTTTCTTGGCACTTCCTTGCCTTTTCAGTATCCACTTCAAGGTTCTGAGTTATTTCTTTGCTCTCTTGCAGTTGAACTTCAAGCATTTGGGCGTGAGAAACAGCATCTTCGAGTTCAAAGGTTTTCAAAGATAGTGTCTTCTCTAAAGCTTCAACATGAACCATGATTTCCTTTGTTTCATCTTTCTTGTCCCTGGAATTGGAAGCAGATTCTTGTAGTAGGCTGAGGTCAAAAGACAACCCCTTTAAAACATCATCCTTTCTCAAAAGCTCATCCTGGAGATTCAGATTCTCAGACAACAAGTCTTGTACATCAATCTGCAAAGATTGAACAGTGTTTTCGAATCCTGAAGCCTTACTGACGTTTTCACATATCAGTTGCAACATTTTATCAGAAATAGCCACACCATCTCTGGTTAGTTTTTCCAGTATCTTGCTATCTTCAGCTAGATGTGAGCATTTGGCAATGCTTAACCTCGTGACATCTAGTGCTTTTAATTGATCTTCACCAAAATGTATGAACTTGTTCTTAAGGAATATGTTTTCCTTCTTCAACGAACTGACAACGTCAGAATAAACTTGTATATCCCTTTCTTTGATATCCAATTCTTCTGCAGTGACTGACTGGGAATGTTCGAGACTGTAAAGTTCAGAAGCTTTCATCGCCAGTTCTTGCTGTAGGCCAGTGATGCGAGACTCCAAGAAGATGACTCTTTCTCCAAAAACCTTGTTTACTTCGTCTATTTCGGTGATTTTTTGCACACTGCGATCAAGATCGGATGAGAGAACCTTGATTTTACTTTTTGCTTCAGTCAGCTCTTCTATCACTGAAACAGTCTCCAATTTGTTATCTACCAGACATCGGTCTTTGAGCTCACCCTCCACCTGGGAAACAAAAATTTTCTCTTTAAGATCCTCAACGATGGCATGATGATCAAGAAGCTCTCTATCCACAACTGCTAGACAAGAAGAATATTCTTTAACTGTTTGCGCCAGAACAAGCGACTCAACATCCTTTGAGCAAAGGTCCATTAAATAAAGCTGAACTTCAGTGTCAAAGAAATCATCTTTCTGATTCAGATGCCGCTCTTGCTCCAACAGAGTTGCTGCAAGGTTCCAATTGCTCAAATCTATTTCTTTCAGCAAAATATCAAGCTGAGACCCCATGCTGTTAGATCTTTGCAACATCAGCTCCTCCTGGTACTGTAAGCCTGAAATTTTCTGATCAAAACTGCTTAATTTGGTAGTAAGCAGATTAGTTGCTTCTTCATTTCTTGAAATTCTCTCAAAACCATTCTTTATATCAGTCAGTAGTTTACCCTTCAGATTTGCAAACATTTCAAGCTCCCTTCTTAATCTCAGATTGTTATCTCTTAATCCGGCTATGGAAGAGTTTGATACACAAAGACCACGTTGAAGCAGTCCATTTTCAGTATTGATCCCTGTAACGGTTTCTAACAAAATCCCCATATGGCATAGGTGTAGAACTGAGAGAGCACAATCCTTCATGATTATTTCTGACCAAATATCCTCAAGGAATAATCTAGCTGAGTTAGTTTCTGAAACCCAAGCCTTAAAGTCAGATAAATCATTGGCCATGCCAGTCAAGGCCACAGATGATTCATCTTGTAATTTTCTGACAACACTTTCCAGCTCTCCAACAAGATTTCCTATTCCCATCAAACTTGACTCGAATAGTTTCTCAAGGTACGCAAGTTTCTCATTTTCTTTGACATTTATGGTTTCCAGCTCCTGCAGCTTGTCAACTAAGGCGTTTTTCTCTCCAACCAAGCTGGTTTCCCTTTTCTTCTGCTTCTCCATGTCAAATTTCGTCTTTTCGTGCGCTATTATGAGCTCATTGACTGTGATATCTGCTTCTTTAATAACTCCTTGAGCCTCCTCAAATTTCTTAAGAACACACAACTTTTCTACATATTCTTGGTCAGCCTCTGTCTTTATCTTAGCTAATTCATGCTCCAAAGTCTGTAAAATAGCATAAGAATTTCAGATAAAAAATAAAGAGAGAAAATTTATAGCATCTGAGAGAATGTAAATAATAGGTGAAACCATAAATGCACAGTCCTATATGACTCAGGACGAGAAAAAAAAATTTTGAAAGGGACAAGAATAAACAGTTACTTGCCTTAAGTTTATGATCTGTGACTTCCATCCTGTGCTCATATTGTTCTTCCATGTCCTTCATCACAGTTTCAAGGTTGCAAAACTGTGCAGCAAGATTGTTCAAGTTGCTTAAGCTTCTTTTCTCAGATGCCTTTAGCTCTTCCTTCTCACCCTGGAGTTTGGCCATTTCAACTTGAACCTCCCTCAAGCTTACAAGTGCAGATTCCATTTCTTGCTTTAGCAGTATGATCACTTTACCTCTCTCACTAGACACCTTGCTGCTCAATTTCATGGACTCTGTATGATTGTTGTTTGGAGTCTTCTCTATGCAAGAGGAGACAACGACATTCCTTCCAGGTTCCTGTATTAAAATTTTCAAGTAAAAGACTAAGCACACTACTATACATAATAGAGGCATGATCGCTAATATAAGAAAAGTCTTAGCTCACCTGTCCTTCACTACAGTGGGCAGGAGAACCTAGTGAATTCTCTTCCTTAGGGTATTTTTCATGCTCTTGACACATATTTATGCATGATCTCAGTCCAGATATGCCACCCCTGAGCTCAGAAATCTTCTCTTTCATCGCCGAAATGCCAGTCTCCTCAATTTCTTCAAGCTTTTGTTCCATAGCAGAAGCATTCTTTTCTTCATCTAGAAGTTTGCTTCTAAATTCCTTACAGGTTGCTTCCAACTTTTGTACTTGTTGTTTCAGAGAAAGAATTGTTCCAGCAGATTCCGCAAGCTGAAAATCCTTTTGCTTCAACTCAAAAGCATGGGATTCGGTTACCTCAGAATATCGGTTGACAATTATTAGAGAAGCTGTTGCACAATCTGATGCTTCATAAATCAACCTTTCAGCCATCTTCAGCTTCTCTTGAAGCCTTGATATGGTCTCTGTTTTTGTGCACAACTGCGATTTCAGGAGGAGAACGTGTGTCTCCTTTTCCTCAAACTCTCTCTGGTGCGCTTCATTCATTACTATCGCTGCTCCTCTAAGAGACTTCAACATGGATTCTATATCGCATCGTTTTTTATTGGCATCCTCTAAACAGCTTTCAAGATCTTCAATCATTAATTCCCTCTCAGAAAGTATTCTTATTAATCCTCCAACCTGTTCAGATATCCATATCCTTTTATCTGGTAAGGAACCCGAAATGAGATCAGCCTGGTAACACGCATCTGTAAGGCCTTCATTCCCATTCAGAAGAATTTCTTCAAGCTCAGATGTGAGAAGTTCCATTTCGTTTGATATGATCTGTAGTTCAATGTCTTTGCCTCTGAGCTTTTCTTGCAACTTCTCATTATCCGTGGTCGTGTCTCGTAAGTTATCCTGCAGCTCCTCCATCTGAGTTTCTAAAATCTGTACCTGCTTTTCAGTCACGTTTTCTTTTGATTGGAAATCATTGACCTCCTTCTGAAGAACTTCAAGCTCATTCTGCAAACAGACAATCACCTCAGCAGTTGCAGCTTCAGCTTGCTTGCAAACTTCGTCCATTTCTTCATCTCCACATGCCTTAGAAGCAATATCACTCTTGTACAACATGTTCAACCTCTTAGCTTTTTCAAGAGATGCATGCATCTTCTTAAACTTTGTATCAATTGCCTTATCCTCTGCAGGGTTATCTTTGAACTCATTGCGCTGTTTGGACTTCATTGCTGGGATATCAAGCTCTTGCATTTGTAAAAGCTCAATATAGTTCTCCTTTATTCTCCTCAACTCCACTGCTTCTTGGATCAATATAAGGTTCTGTGATTTGAGAGCTTCAACTACAGATTTTGTCTCTCCCAGCTCACTATATACATTTTCTTGCTGCTTGCTTATCAAAAGTAGTTGGTCCTTCAACTCTCCAATATCGAATTTCAAGCGAACTGCCTGTGCCTCTGTATCACCACGTAGTGTTCTTTCCTCATCGAGTATAATTTTCAGTACATCTAAATCAAGCTGCAGTTTGATGATTTCTTCTACATAATTGACCTGCTGACCAGCAAGTGTTTCGTGCCACTCAACATTTTGAGTTCCCAACAGGGCCTGCAATATTTTGGCAAAATTCAACTGTTAAGTGAAAACGCTTAAGGGTAGCCTGCAGTCTGCAGAAACAATAACACAGATGATTGTGCGGATTAGTAAACCACACTGTACTTATTGTGCAAACCTTTTGTTTGTTTCCAATGCTATGTTCATTAGGTGTGCAAGCTCTGATATCGCTGACCATAGCCTGTAGATCATGGATTTCTCTGTAGAAGGAGGACGAGAAGACTTATCAAGGGCATGAAGAAAATGAGAACTCATTTGGCCATATACCAGGAAACAAACAAGAATCATCAAATCAGATTTGCTAACCTACTAAGCTTTGCATTCTCTTCCAGGCAAGAACCAAGATTACTTCTACATTTTTCAAGCTCGTAAGAGGTCTTTCTTAACTGCAATGGAAAAGACGTTAAGAAACTGAAACTGAAATTGAAAATATAGATTAAAAAGAAAACAGGAGAATAACTTATGAGAAAGAAAGGGAATCGACCTCCTCCTGTAGAGAACAATTTTCTTTGCTCATATGTGATGCACCCTGCGGCATAGCAAATAAAACAATATTATCATATAGTAACCAATGAAGCACAATCCATCTGGATATAAAGAGATATTTAACATATAGAAAGAGGTAAATAAATGTAACCTGTGGCTCTATTCCCTCATCAACATGTTTTTGCCAGTCAGAATTTTCATCAAGAAACTGGAAGAGCTGCAAGATCAATAGCTAAGGTTAAGGATGTCATTGCAATCGAAAAGAAGAATGAATCGATACTAGGATGTTGTGCTAACTAGAGGCACCTGGTTTCGCAGATTTGAGACTTCGCCCAGTAGAATTTCTCTCTCACCTTCTTCATAAAACTCTTGAAATCTGAAAGTACCATAATAACGAGTTTTTAATCTAAAAATCACACATTATCTTTAATTTCAGCATAAGATGTTTCCTGAAGATGTATCACCTTCTAAGTTGGTCCAGAAGCCTTATGTTTTCCAAGGCAAATCGAGTCAGTTCAGGATTTTTATCAATTTTAGCTTGAAGCAGCTGAATCTCTTCTGACAACACGTTATTCTCTTCCAGCAAAAAAGAATCTGTAGATATATGGTTGCCAAGAAGTGATTCCAGCCTCTGTATCTTGTCTTCTCGAAACCTGAGCATCATTTTTGTGCTCCTAGTATCTTCCTCCCTTTGTCGAACCTAAAGATAAATGATCATAAATGGATTCAGGCGATATCTGAAACATAAGTGGGAATGGGAACAGTGTAGGTGAAATAGAATTACCAAACGGTTTAGATGCTCTATCTCAGCTTCAAGCTTCTTAATTGAAGCATCAGCCACATGTTCCCTTCTTAATGAGCCAGCAAGTGTTATCTCCAAAGATTTCAACTGATATATAGATAGATACAGACTTTTAGTGGAATCATAAGGAAGAGGCATATGAATCCTCAGTAAAGCCTAACATAATTACACAAGTTAGTATACCTGCTTTCTAGACATCCTTACACAGCCTCCAGATTCATACACAAGCAAGTTACCAGCCTGCTGATGTCCTGTCTCATGCATTTCACTTGATGGCGAATCGACTTGTAATTCTGCAAAGTTGGCTGTTGCTGATCCAAATGACAATGCCCTGGATATGTTCTGGCGCTTGAGGAGGGAAAGCTCTTCCTGTTCCGCACACACAAAAAATTGTCTTAGCTTTTTTACAGCTTCACATAAAGAGCACCTAACGGCAGTTTAAAATGTTACACCTTTAAAAGTCGGATTTGACGGCGTAATTCCAGGACATCCTCGTTGGAATCTTCATTGACCACAGCCTAAATAATTTGAAACATAATATTTATCCAAAGGTTATTCATGATTTATCTCTCTCAAAACTTACAATATGGATTACACAGTGCAAACTTACATTGTTCTGGATTAGCTTTGCTCTCTGAGCAAATTTAAGAGTGTTTAGCGTCTCTGCTGCACAACTGCCAGTGATAAACGAGAGAAGCGATAGGTTGAACTGTTGAAGTTTTTTACTAACTATACGAGTTATTGTAACACTAGATCAAATTAGCTTTCAAAGAATACCTGACGGAAGGACTGGCATTAGCAATGATCATTGTTTTAGAATTGCCACCCAGTGAGTCCTGTAGATAAAATAATTACCGTTATATAATGCTAAAAACGATAGATTGCAATTTCAGTGAAGAAAGGAAATGAATTTAGATTTAACCTGAAGAAGAAATGTCAGCCTGGAATCACGATATGGAATATGCCTTGGTTTACCATTTGCCACATCCACAAGAACCATAATTACATGTCTGCAATCAATAATAACATATAGTAAAATTTCACATAACAACTAGTTGAGAAACTGAGTTATGCCAGGGAATAAACCATTCATTGATTACCCTAGTGTGGACAATGATTTATTGATACTAGCAGCTTCTTTTAGGCGGTCACCCTCAGCGCCAGAAGTTTTCTGCCTGTTACAGAATGCACAATGTTAGATGAGGTTCTACGGCAATACCAAGTAAAACGCACTATAGTTACCTCTCTGATCCAGCGAGATCAACCAAGTTTAGTCTTGCAAAACGCATATTAGCTGTTGAGTCTTTTTCCCATCTGCTCTCGATTACGCATGTAAATACACTATGTGATCGGCTGCTCTCTCTGTTCATATTTGTGGCTCCGACTCTTCGATTCAAAGAACCCTATTGTACAACAGATAAGATTTCAGGAACATTAAACATAAGACAAAAATGTTTGGTAGACGGCAGTACTAACCTGTGTGATAAGCCCTAAGATGTCTTGAACACTTTGTACTTCACATTCAGTGAGATTTTCCACATAGACACCGCTTTTAATGTCCTCTCGAAGCTAAACAGTGAAAACACATTAAAGAACTAAGCCTTGCGCATCTATTACACTTTCACCAACAAAAGAATATAAAAGTTACCTGCAAATTTGTTGAAGAAGGTTCAAGAAGGTCTGTAATTTGTTCATTGTAAATCTCAAGGAAAGAGCATTTGCAACTGTATTTAAGTCTCTCGTCTCTTCTGCTCTCTTCCTCCTGCAACCAGAACAATGAGGCAAGATGCAATTAGCAAGGTTACGATATCTCTGTAATAGAAATGGAAAAAGCTCTATCATAAGAGAATTACAGCTTGTATTCTTGCAAATAAAAACTCAAATATCCGAGGCATCATTCCTCTGTTGGGACTTGGTTTAAATTCTAAATCACTGACTTCCCCGAGCATTGTATATGTTTTTCCACTTCCTGTCTGCACAATCCCAACAAATTATTGCAAGTTAGGAACTGAAAGAAAAATAATGCCGAAGAAAGAAACTATCCCTACTCAGTCCTATTCTGAAAACTTAACTATCTCATCTCATTGTAATCTTGTAAGGATTTTCAAATAATTTCTTATAAGAGGACATGATATTAGACTAAGTGTCCTCACCAAATTGCCTAAAATGGGACATCTTTACAGCTCTATATAAAAAAAAACAGCTTTACCATGGTCACCAGAAAACACAAGGCTTGACAGAAATAAACTTGCTAGTGTTTAAAGCCTGAGGTAGTAGATCACTCTCATAACCATCTCTAGAATGAGAGAAGAATATACCTGGCCGTATGCAAATATACAGCTGTTGTAGCCAGACAAGCAATTTTCCACCATGGGCAGACCGGCTACCCGAAAAAGGGTTTCCTACAAATTTAGAATGCAAAAAAACTTTCACATATACGAAGAAAAGGAAACCAAATTTTCTGCTTTCGTTGTGAGTCTTACCTGGTCAATTGTCTCACACGCCACGTGATCGAACTGGAATCGTGTTTCTGGTGGTCCAATCCATGCTACGCATTGCGAGCTTTCTTGCTTTAAGCACCTATTGTACCCATTTGTACTCTTCTCCATGCTATTAAGTGGTCGGACACGTATAAGAATCTGCAATTCATTCAGTAACCATCAATGTGTGCCACCTAACAGAAACTTCTTAAAGTCGAAAACAAGTTGTTAAAAGAAGCAACTTGGTCCAGCTAATGAACCTAGATGTATACTGGACAGTGAACACTGAGAAGAGTAATGCAATTCAAAGACCATGGGAACAAATTTCTACCTGTACGTTGTGATCCATCCAGAAAGATGGATCCTCCTTAAGGCTAAAGTGAGGAACTTCGACCGAGTTAACAACTGCTGAAACTTGTCCAGAAGAACTAGACAAGCCTTTATACAACGACGCATAACCACCAACTCTAACAGCTCCAGTCCCATCAAGCTTCCCTCGGTAACAAGATCCCGGAGGCTTAGAAACACTCTTAGTAGGCGTATTCTGCGTCGAATTGGTCTCTGAATGAGCTCTCCCAACAACTCTACCAGTTTTAGGAGTGGTATTCAACAAACCCGCATTCGTTGTGTTAGTGATAGAATCACACTTATCTCCCCAACCAAACCGATTCTTAGAAAACGCGGCGGCTGCTGATCGATACTTATCAGGCGTCCGTAAAGGCAATGCTGGATCTGGGTTCTTAGCTCTAGGCTTAGAAGGAGTTCTATCGATCTTACTTCCACATTCCTTTTCGTGTTTAGGATTCTTCAATGAGGTTTGAGACAAAAGCGAAGCTCTGAGATTTTCAGGAATATTCTCGATTTCGCCATCGTGATTGTCGGAATCTCTACGGGAAAGCTTGGTCTCCTTTGACATTATAATACCCTAATCTGAAACAAAAACTAGATAAAACCAAGTTCAGAATTCACGAAATCGACACACGAGAAATGATAAATTTAGAAACTTGGAATCCATAGCTAAAGCTAAGAAGCTCGTTGGGTTTTTTAACGCTGAAATAGAAATGAAAATTTTCTCACCTGTGTAATGAATTGAGCAGCAAAATCCAAAATTTCTCGAGCTTGTAAAGAGTTCTATCTATCTCTCTTCAAACTCTCTCTCCCTCTCTCTCTTTTTCTCTCTCTCTAGATTCGCATGATTTCAGCAGTGAAGCAGGACGGAGAAAGGAATGTAAATGAAGGATGAAGATGAAACGGACGGCCGAGATTGCATCTTAGGTTTTGCACTTTGAGGCGCTGTTCGAATTTGAATTTGGAAAGGGCTTTCTCGCGTAATAAAGTAGGCTTGTAGAGGTTAGTTTCGTAAATGACAAACCTATTTATTTTATTTTTCAAAAATATTCAACGGCTAATACAGTGAAAAAGGAGAATAGGGCCCATTCTAATTCAAAATATATTTTCCAGCCGCTTGCTTATACCAAAGTTCGAGATAAAATGAAAAAGCATATTATATAGATGGTTTAAATTTTGGATAGGATTTGGGTTGATCGGTTAAACATATACCAATAAAAAGAGACTATAAAATACAACCTTAAAAAACTTCATGGGACATTCATTGGTTTTGTTTGTCTTTTTGATAAATAACTTTTTGGTTGATTACGATTTAGAATGATTATCATTTGACAATAATTTTAACGCAAAGTTGTAGAAGAGTGAGTATGTTTGTCTGTTCTTTTCTCGATCGTGCCGGAGCAAAACGACGATGACCGTAACAACGAATAAAGTAAAACGATAGATAAAGACTGTAACAGAGGTGTCGTTAAAATAAATGGAGGTATCACTTCACGAGTCGTCAAAAAATTCAGCGACCAAAAAATCAAAACAAGTCGTCTCCTCCGAACAATCAGTGACTGAATTTTTGTAAAAAACTTGCCGTCTATTCTTCATTTCCTTCTTTAATTTTTAGTCGTTGGATTCTATCCCAGCAATCCTAAAAAAAAAAACAGACTATTATGAAATCAATTAGTGGGAAAATTACTTTTCCCCTTATTTACTTACTATCTTGCCATCAAAATATTTAGTATTTTTTGTCTTTTTTTGGCAAAAAATATTAGTCGTTAATTATGTAAATTTTGACTATTTTACTTAAGTAACTCGAGGAGTAACAACAAATTACATTCGGGTTAGGAATTGGACCTGGGACAACTAAATTTCAATCGGGTCGGGTTATAAAGTTTCCCCTATAAAAACCTCTCCGATGATAATCCCCGCTTCTTTGATCCCTCGACGATTTCTTCTTTCCGTCGTCTCTTCCGATCACCCAATTGAGCTCCGCTTCACTTTCTCAGGCTAAGGGTATGTACATACTTTCAATTAGGGTTTCGAGGAACACATCACCTTGAATTTGTGTCCCCAATTTCGTCTCGATTAGATATCAACGAGGGTTTTGTTCTTGTTTCTTGGCTAAACAACAAAATTTGATGAATTTGTTCTTGGGTCTCTTTCAGATAAGTAAGATGGATGCTGTTATTCCCAAATTTCTTGTATTTGTACGGAAAAATTTGATGATGGTATGTTTCCCTTGTAGGTTTTCGTTGAGTCGTGAATCTGTTCTTGCTCCTGATTCTTTTCAGTAGTTCGTTTGCTATCTGGGAAGAAAAATTGTCAGGCCACTCTTTGCATTTGAAGTTTTTAATATGTCTGAATTCAACGGCAACGAGACTTCCTCAGGTTATATATGCAGCTTTTTACATGGTTTCTTAATTATGTTACTCCATTATCTGAAACTGGTGACTGTTTTTAGGAGTTTTCGTTTCACACGTAAGTAGAAACGAGCAACGTTGAGGTGATCATGAACATGTTTGTGAACGTTCATATCATCAGTGTCTTGCATTCTCCTAGTTTGGCTCTAGTCATAATCTACTTATTGTGCAATGCACAGCGTTTTGTGTTAATTGTATATAGAACATTTTTCTGTTTGAGATCTTGATATACGCAACAAGTCCCACCCATAGCAGTTACAAACTGAAACTATTTACACTACCAAAACCTGGTCATAGCTTCACTGACTTGTGATGATATCTCGTGTAGATTATGAGAGCAATGATGAAGAGTCTGATGGGCCTGAACTTCAAGTAGTTACTGAGGAAGATCATCTACTACCGAAAAGGGAGTACTTTTCAGCTGCATTTTCTTTGAGTAGCTTAAATTCCAGAGCTTCTGTGTTTGACGACGAAGATTATGATGAGGATGAAGGACAAGAGGAGAAACACGTGCCAGTTGAAAAATCTTTTGATCCAGGAGAGAGGGAACCAGGTTTGCTTTTGCAATTGCCGTTTCTTGAACAGAAAGATTAGCACACTGTATTCTGTACTTTTGTTTTGTCATTTCACTACTCTCTAATTGGTTTAGTTGAGTTATTCTCAACACTTATACTTGTTGAGCTCGGGAAAATAATAGCTTGCTAAGTTGGAGTCCAGTGCGTCATAAATCCTTGAGATCAGAACTCTTGGAATTTTTCTTATATGCCTTGTGAGCTAGTGATTATGAGACACAACACATTATTGTTTTGCAGTTGTCTTGTTGGAGGAAAATCACGTGGGGTATGAAAAGGAGGCTGGCATCTTGGGAAATAAGGATCAGATGGACACAGGAGATGTCCAGAAGGTCAGCAAGAATGATTTCGGTGTCTCAGACAACATCTTTTTTGTTGTGGGATGATTTTGTTCTGTTAGTGATCTCATTGAAACATTCAGGAGGAGCTGGATGACTTATCAGAATGTAATTTGGATGAGAAAAGCGTCACCCCGCTGCCTACGTTGTATCTGGATGATGATGGTATGGTCATCTTACAATTCTCTGAGATATTTGCTATTCAAGAGCCACGGCAGAAACGGCAGAAGAGAGAAATTAGATGTATCACTTATAGAGGTATGTGATCTGGAACGGTCTTCCTAATTTTGTTTATTCTCAAAATCCTTTGAATTTTTTGTTCTGTCCATTGGCTTGTTAAAATCTGCAACAACAATAAGTTTTCTCAAGATTTTCAGTATCTCCCGTTCAATTCTAAAGGCCATTAGGTGTCGAAAGCATGAGAAGTTTTTTGTATGTGGCTCAGTCTCTTCTTGGCAAGAATATATTAGATATGTATATTTGGTGCCTCTGAAATGATATACATTTTTTTTCTGTTTCTCTCTTTTTGTCTCTGCATTCTTCTTTTCTGTTTATAATTCATCTCTTCATATGAGACTCTTACATCATAGCCTTCTTCCGTACAGAAAAATACATATCTATGGATATTTCTGAGCTTGTTGAAGACGATGAGGAGGTACTCCTGAAGAGCCATGGTAGGATTAACACTCATGAGAAAGAAGCTAATCAAATTCAGCTGGCTGTTCCCTTACCAATCAGAGAGTGTTCACAGCTGGTAAAATCTGGCACAGTAAGGGATACTTCATCAGAATCGAGAGAATTTACCACGCTAGGAAGGGATTCATGTATCATGGGTGAACTGGTGAAGCAGGACTTAAAAGACGATAATTCATCTCTTTGTCAGTCTCAATTAACAATGGAAGTTTTCCCTCTTGACCAGCAAGAATGGGAACATCTAATACTCTGGGAAAATTCTCCTGAATTTAGTGATAATCTGGTAAGGGCTTCAAATCTGGACTTGAGTCGGAAGGTATGCTGGTTCAGGTGAGGGCTTCAAATTCAGTGACTGAACAAGAAAGCTTAAATGTGATGAACTCTGGAGGGCAAGCTCAAGCTGACAATAATATGCTCGTGCCTTTTTGTGTAAATCCCTTGGAGTCTTTTGGCTCAAGAGGTTCCCAGTCTACAAATGAGTCCACTAACAAAAGTAGACATCATCCACAACTCCTAAGATTAGAATCCGAGCGGGATGAAGATCATCATAGTGAAAATGACGATGCTGGATGGGAGAATTTAAAGCAGCTTAATAGTGACGCTCTTGGGCGCTTGAGTGGATTTGCATTGCAAGATAGGGATATGTGTGATGAGTCATGGTTAGATAGCATAATATGGGAGTCAGATAAAGATTTGAGCAGGTCTAAACTAATATTTGATCTTCAAGATGAGCAAATGATCTTTGAAGTTCCGAATAATAAGGAAAGAAAATATCTTCAACTTCATGCGGGATCTAGGATTGTATCTCGATCTTCAAAATCCAAGGATGGATCCTTTCAAGAAGGCTGTGGATCAAATTCTGGGTGGCAATTCAATATTTCTAATGACAAATTCTATAGGAAGGGGAAAAGCTCTCAGAAACTGCAAGGAAATGCTAAGAAATCTGGCGTACACAGTTTGAGAGTTTTTCATTCGGCACTAGCGATTAAATTGCAGACGATGAAGATTAAATTAAGCAAGTAAGTGAGTCATTCGTATTTTTACATCTTATTGTATTTGTACGCTTCATTGTTACATTACGTCTCTTGTGTGCTCGCAATGTTGCCACTGGATATAGTTTTAAAATACATCCTTAGTTTAGTGGTTTATGTTAAAAAGTTTTGATTTAACTCATTGCAGTAAAGAGAAAGCAAATTTCCACCGGCCCAAAGCTCTGTGGTATCCACATGACAATGAGCTAGCCATCAAGCAGCAAGAAAAGTTAACCACCCAAAGATCCATGAAAATTGTAGTTAAGAGTCTGGGGGGTAAAGGATCACTGCTACACGTCGGCAGAGAGGAATCTGTCTCCTCTTTAAAAGCCAAGGCTTCTAGAAAGCTAGGTTGTTTGTTTTCCTTTCACTTTTTGTCTACCGCATTATGACATGGATTCTATTCGGAGGACATACTGTACTATCAGTTTCACTGGCAAATCTTAGAGCTTATCTGCTACAATTGTTTTGCAGATTATAAGGAAACAGAAGCAATGAGAATGTTTTATATGGGGAAGGAACTTGAGGATGAAAAGTCTCTTGCTGAACAAAATGTTCAACCCAATTCTCTTGTCCATCTTTTACGTACCAAGGTACATTTGTGGCCATGGGCACAAAAGCTTCCGGACGAAAATAGATCTTTAAGACCTCCTGGGGCATTCAAGAAGAAATCTGACCTATCTAATCAAGATGGCCATGTTTTCTTGATGGAGTAAGATAATTTCTATATGAGACTTACCTGTCAAATTTGGAACTTTGTTTTGTTACTTTATGGCTTTTGCAGTTATCTTGATCTTTGTCTTTAAGTCACCGTTACTTTTCATTAATCTGTGTAGATATTGCGAAGAGAGGCCGTTGATACTCAGCAATGCAGGAATGGGTGCAAATTTGTGCACGTATTATCAGAAGTCATCCCCAGAGGATCAACATGGGAACTTGCTGCG